GGGATGGACTCCACACACCTATATGTTCATATATTTTAACACATTGTTTGTATTTGGATAGTTTATGTATATATGTTGTATATGTTGGTTATGCCCTGTTGCATTTCGATTGGTGGTGTTATACCCTGCGCTGATAATCAGAGGTACCGTTACCTTCCTGCTAGCGCCTGCTAAACTGACTGCGCTGAGAATCTAAGGTACCACACCCTTCCAGCTAGCGCCTGGTAAACTGGCATGTTGTTGTGAGAAGTGTATCTTTGGCTTACTATGCACATAGCTAGTAGAGCAAAGTTTTTTTGTTGATATTTCAGTGTATTTGGGAATATCATGGATTGCGTTGATTACGGTTTTGGAGGGCCGAGTTGCCTCATTGGTTTATCGTGTAAGTACCCCTTTCATTTTTAAATGTGTTTTGATTTGAGAAAGGTTCATTGTGTTGGGTTTGTGTGATTTTTTATTTCTGTTGATTAGGTATGTGTTTGGATTTGTGTTTCTAAGATTTTGGTTTGGGTTTGTGATTTTTAATATATTTTAATGAATGTTCTGGGTTAATGATCATTAATTAAGTTATGACTCCCATTCGAAGCTCAAACTTGAGCAACAATGGAGTTCAAAGAGGAAGAGAGAGATGTAGAGGAAAAAAAAGAGACAAAGCTCTCTACTCTAAAAAGAACAAAAGCCAAAAGACATAGAAGAAGAAGAAATGAAAAAGTAGGCAAAGGGAGTGGGGGGCAACCCACGTGGGTCTGCTTTCCTTTCCTAAGTATTCTCACTCAATCCCACCTCATAAATTAATATACAATATATTGTATATTATCTCAAAACTTTATAATATAAATTTATTCTCATATATTTTAATTGAAAAAAGGTGTTTCTTGTATATTAAATTGATAATTTATTTTTCTATAAGATTGGATTGGGTACGAATTAATCTATTTAAATAATTGTTCATTGCATACTATTTGGAAATGCTTATTAAAAAAATATAAAAAATCAAGTAGCTTTGGTTATTCAGAGACCTAATATCATTAAAAATGTTTATGTTTATATTTATTAAGAAACGTAACATTATTCAAAAAAAAAATTGGTTCTGTTAAAAAATGGTGGTTTGAATTTTTTTTTCTTTTGATAAATTTGAATTCAGAATTTAAATTAGGTTGTGTTAAAAAAAGTGGTTTAAGTTTCACTACAGAATTTGAAATATTTGCAAGTGAGAATGAGAGAGAAGAGAGATAATGGGGTGGTGTAATTAAGAGTTATTTTGGAAAGTTGATTAAAAGTTAATTTTTTAATTTTTTGTAAAAACATATATAAAAAATAAAAATAAATAATATGATCTAAAATAGATTAAAAATTAAAAAATAACTTTTAATTATCTTTTCAAAATAGGCCCAAGTTGTTCGATATTGATTATGTTATATAGTTGGTGTATGCATCGGTCAATGAGAAAGAATTAAGTTATCTCTCTCTCCTCTCCTCATCCTTGCTGTCCCTTCTCTCTCTCTCTCTCCTTTGTGTTCTTCTCTCTCCTCAAGCCTGGTCTCTTCTTTTATTCCTTTTCAAATTTGAAAAGTGTTAGATTAGAGATCTCAAATAATCTACTAAATTTCTCATATGAGTGTGAAACCCATACACATGAATTTGTGTAAGTCTTACACTTACATAAAAAGTTCAATAAAAAAATTAATAAATTATTTGAAGTATATAGTATTTTTCATTTCCAAATTCTCTTTTGTCTCCACTTTTCCTTTTAAAAAAAGAATAATGTAGTAAGAGTAAAAAGTCTTGTTTGTCGAGATGGGTCAAAATTGTCCCACCCATAAAGTTTGTGATAGGTTAGTAGCAGTTAACCCATGCAATACACATTATAAAATATAAGCATATATTTTGAAAATTATACTTTATAAATTTCATTTCAATTATGTTTGTGTATATCAATATGTATCTACTTATGAATTTATTATAAAAAGTAGGGTTATTCTACAATACACATTTTTCTTTGGTGGGTACCATATACAAGTTATGATATTTGTGTTAAGAAATATTAATGGAGGATAAGATTAGAAAAGAAGATAAATATAGTTGTAATTCTACATTTACATGTTTTCTTATCCAATGCAAATCAAACAATGAGTAAGGGATAGTTTATCCTACTAATCTAATTGGATAGTGAATATCACACTAATTTGATGGGATTATTAATGCTTTCACTATTAATCTTGCGAATCAAATATGGCCTTAGAGCTCTATATCATCACTCGAAACATAATGGAGTAATCTAATTTTCAGATGTGTAAGAGGAGCTAATTTGTGCCCATTAAATTAATTAGGCCCAATAGTCCAAGATTGGTAGGCCTGAATTTTTCGCAAGTCCAAGATTAGTGGGCCCAGATTTATCGCCATCAAACGGGCTGCATCACTCTAAGCCTCGAAGGGGTTCGGATCCACGAACTTAGAGACTTAGAGACTTACTCAGGCCCGGACTCGAAAGGATATTGAATAAGCCTAGAGATCCGAGGCACTCGGACTCGAAAGGGTTCGAATCCACGAACCTAGAGATTCGAAGCACTTGGCTTCGAACGGATTCAAACGCAATCTAGAAGTCGCTCCGTTAATGAGTCCCAGAACACTTGCAGGTTCAGAGCTTTCCGGGATCTGCGGACCAGAACCATGGGCGTAATGGAGTCCAAACAAAGGACCCGATCCCAAGGACGGTGAGTGGAGATAAATTCACTCTTCGGTTAAACTAGCCTATACCCGGGTCGAGGTGGCACGACCCCGGGGGGTCCATGAGACTCGGCAATATTTTGCGGCAGGACGTCCTCTGGGACTACCCCTGACCCTTTGGGATGATTGGAGATCATTGGTTAGGTGTGGCTAAGAAGAAGGGTTCGCCGAGGGAGTGATCTCCTCTTCGGGGACTACTCCTGACCCTTTGGGATGATTGGGGATCATTGGTTAGGTGTGGCTAAGAAGAAAGGTTCGCCGAGAGGTTGATCTCCTCTTTGGGATTTTTCCTCATCCTCGGAGAGGTTACCTCCTCGAACAAGGTGGTTAGAGAGAATATTCCCCATGTGCCTTGTACATGGGGTCCATCCTACATCATGAGGTGCCTATAAATAGCACCCACCCATAGCTTTACAAGGGATGGATTTTGGAGATTTTTTTTTAACTCTTGGGAAAGAACTAATTTTCCTTCTCCATTATCAACCTTGAGAGTGAAAGTGGGAGATCCATGGGAGAGTCTTGCCATTATTCTCTCTCTAGCCATTTTGCCTTCTTCTTCACCCAATCTCTTATCTCCATCATCTCCTTTACTCTTGTGTTCTTGAGTTGAGACTATTGAAGAATCTAAGCCTCTCATTATCTTCTAGAGAATTCGAAGTTGTTCTTCAAAGATCTTCGAAAATCTTCGAATTTTCCAACGACATTCTTGAACCCTCTCATACAAGATGAAAAAAAAAATATACATATATATATATATATATGTGTGTGTGTGTGTGTGTTCATTAACCTTCTATTTACATTGAATAAATGAATGGAGTTAATTAGCAATCTATGGACAAAAACTACAAGCAACTAGAGTTAGTGGTTACATATGTTACAAGAAGATTTGCCAAAATTAGAAAAGTTTGCTTGCAAACTCTTCCATGGCCTCCCCTTTCACTGAAGAAGAAGCTGCAAGATCCTTCAGATCTGATAAGCTTCTACCCAGCTGCAAAGCCACCTTCATTTCAAACAATTTGATGGGATTATTTCCCTTTTCTTTTCCTCTCCCTTTCTAAACCAAGATGAAATGAATTTCCATAAAATATTTCGATAATATATAATACCCGTCTAAGTAAATAATGAAGGTCATTAATATCTTCTCATCTAATCATTAATACAAAATAAGAAAAAAGGGTTGTGTTTGGTGCAGCACTCTAATCATAATTCTACCCCTTTTTTTTAAGCCTCTGTTTGGATGGAGTGTTCAAAAATTAATTCCACCGCACATTTCAAAATACATTTCTCTTTCACGTTTGGCAGATTTCCTTCTAAGGAAAGCTCTCACCTTTTCGTACATACCCTCTCTTTTGTACATGTTTAGTAAAGCAGAAATTTCAAATTTTTGGACAACCTAGTTGTCTGCCCAGACATCCTCTCGGATGTTCGGCTGGTTCACCGGAATAGTAACTTTTTTTTTTTGCCATTGTCAATCGCCACTTGTTATTTAGGAAAAAAAATTATATTTGCTTTTGATATTTTTTAAATATAGATATTATTTTCTTAGACCAAAATGATAAATTATTTTTTTTAATTGAATTTTAAAAAGAGTTTGGCTATGAGTTGTGGATAAAATTTTCAATAGAGTTTTGAGTTATGTGTTTGGTTATGAGATATAAGTTTTTCAATTAAGTATTGAAAACTCTTTTCAAAACTCATAACCGTTAAAACTCCCGCTCGAGCGGATAAGCAACAACGAAGGGCCCGCTCGAGCGTTAAAACCTCCGCTCGAGCGTGAAGGCCAAAATCTGGGCATCACCTATTGGCATCAACAATCAACCAACCTGTAACAGACCCACCCAACACAACCTATAATTCAAATACTAAGAGATTAAAGGACAACAACAACCAATAAGTAATGACAGGATCCACGGAACCTAAGTCCGGATACAATAATCTAAAGAGAAAAGACCGGGGTCGCTATATAGCCAGTCATTTCTGCTTTTCAACATGTTGTGCTAATATACTCAATCAACACATGGCAAATGCTATATGAAACATAGTGGACTAATTTAATTTTCTGAATAATATATATATGTCCATTAACCTTCTATTTACATTGAATATATGAATGGAGTTCATTAACAATCTACGGTCAAAAACTACAAACAACTAGAGTTAGTGGTTACATATGTTACAAAAAGTTTTGCCAAAATTAGAAAAGTTTGCTTGCAAACTCTTCCATGGCCTCCCCTTTCACTGAAGAAGAAGCTGTAAAATCCTTCAGCTCTGATAAGCTTCTACCCAACTACAAAGCCACCTTCATTTCAAACAATTCCCCATTCTCTCTTCTCTCCACTTCTCTATCCTTCAAATTTGATTCTATGGACTCTTCCATGAGCTTAAAGAAACCAGCATTGCTTCTATACATCTCAAACACCATCCCAATTTGCCCACCATGCTCTAATGTGTTGACGATGCTCGACAAAGCACCGCCAACAACTCCAAGCACCACAGCCCATGATCCATGGCTAGGAGACCCCACAAATGCAGAACCAATAGCTGCAAGACCTGATATATGTGTATTACTACATTGATATGGAAACATTTATATCAGTTGAATGCTCTCAAGTCCTTCATACATTTATTCTCCTTAACGGTTTGTTATTCTCAACTGTGTAATTTTTTTTTTTGGGGTTCTGCATCTTGAGGTAAAATTAACTTTGCATACATTGATTTTTTTTTAAACCCTCATGGTATTTTTTTTGCATTACCATTCCAGCAACACCAACGTCTCATTAAGTTTAATTTCTGCGGGTATTATTTTATTTTAATTTAATTTATTTATTTTTCTATTACGCTTAATTTCTTTTATATTTATTTTTTTCTCATTATTAGTTTCTGTTTGGGCTTAATTTTCATGTTTTTTTTCTGCTTTTTAATTTTATTTTTCAGTACTTAAACATAAAAACAAAAAAAATCAAAATACAAATATTTACAAAAAAAAAAAACACCCTTTATTTTTTTTTACGGCCATACGCTGATCAAAATAAGCATAAAAAAACAAACAAACAAACAAACAAACCCTTTATTTATTTCTGACCCTACGTTGATCTTACTTACTCGCCTCTTCCACCGCTCTCTTCTTCTTTTTATCACCTTGGGCAACGCTTGACGTCCCTGCCCCGTGCTTTCGTTGAGAGCAAGCACTCCCCGCCGACTATCAAAAACCAAGAACGACGTTGCTCCAAATCGGGCCATGGAGGTGATCTTCCGTTTACACTCTTTATTTTCGGCCTTCAGTGCGCCTATTTCTGCTCGCGCATCCTTGTACATGCACTGGAGAATAGCGTGTTGGGCGTTGAGTTGATGAAGCTCGCTCGTCCTGTTCTGCAATCGGTGAGCCAATTTTGTGACTGCAGTCACCGTCTCCACACAGGACGTCAATGTGAAATGATTGGCTTCAATGTCTGATTGAGCTGCCATTATTTGCTCAATCGACATCATATGAAGGTTGGGAAGAGTAGGAGTCGGGACACTCGGCTCAGCAGCGCTTACGGGATCATTCAGGTCCGGAAAGAGAGTAAGGGAACAGAACGAGGCCACATAGTAGGAGAGAGAGATGTAATCGAAAGGAGAGTCGTTTTGGTAGCTTTTTTGCTTTGCTCAATCTCTCTATTTTATCTCTCTCACGAAGCGAATAAGGAAGAAGAAGGAGAAAAGAGTGATTAAGAAGGAGACGGAGGAGAAGACGACAAGAGGGAGAGAGAGCCAAGGCAGCTGATTGACTGATTGACCCGTCTCGGTTTTGTCAGTCGGCTAACGCAAAAGCGAGAATGCGTGTCCAACGCGATTTTCGACGAAAAAAAAAGAGACGCATGCGAATCATATATATATAAATATATGTATATATGTTTTGATTCTCTATTTTTTAATGCCATTTATCACTATCATTTTCCTTCTCCTCCTACAGATTCTAACCCATGATTTCCTTTTGATAATGTCACAGGGGGAGAAATTATATGATGTTATGTATTATAGTATTATTTTGTTATGCTATTATATACTATGGTATTATTTTTAAATTATGGTATTATTTGATGTTATGTATTATGGTATTATTTTGTTATGATATTATATATTATGGCATTATTTTGAAATTATGGTATTATTTGAAAACTAATCTGATGATTATGTATTTATAGTTTGATATCTTAATCTCATATCATGTCTCTAATTAAAGCTTATTTATTACACTTGTGCGAACCTATGTATTTAGAAATGAATTCAGGGAGCATGACTTGAGGAGGAGCTTTTCTTACTCCCGAATCAAATCAAAACATCATTGTGTGCCATCATCAAAAAGGGGGAGATTGTTAGACTTATTTATTTTGATGATTTATTTAATTATG